CCGTTCCAGAACCTGGGGGGCCACATTCAGGTGATGTTTTGCCGTTTCGTGACCAGCTCAGGCAAGCCATGTCTCGAGGCCAAGAGCAGAGAGGACGCGATCTACCGCCCGTGTCCACTGGTGAGTTTGTTAAGGCAACTTCCGGGAGTGCCGCTGGCGATTTGCGTAGGCCGTCTACTTTGCTGGGACGGCGAGCGTCAGGAGCCTCTTCTTCTCGAGCGCCGGGGACGCCAGTACCTGAGTGCATTCTTGGTGCCGGTGGCGGTGAAGAGCGTTCACCAGTGGGACCCTTTGAGGCGGAGACCGAGCCAGACAGCGGAAGCGCCAAACGACCGGCGGAGCTTGACGCCGAGACCTTGCGAGACAAAGCCCAGGGGAGTGATGAACCCGTTTCGTTTGATGCGATGGTGATGGAGCACTCTGAAGTGCTCGCGGCAGCGCAGGCCCGTGAAGGTGAAGTCCATCCTCTGGTCAAGTTGCAAGCGCAGGCCGCGATGGACCGGCTGTCGGGAGACATTGGCGAGGCAGGCGACCATGGAACATGGGATGGTCGGTGGCCGCTTCCTTCGAGAACGGAGTACGACGCCTTCGTGCATGCTGGGTTGAAGTGGCCGACCACCAGGGACGCTTTTGTGGTGCAGGCCGCCCGGAAGGAGTATCATTGGAGTTCCATGGGGCCGGAGCAGAAAGCAGCTTTCAAGGATGCCGCTGCTGAGGCGTGGAAAGTGTGGCTCCGGAATGAAGCGGTGGAAGTTCTCTCCGATGCCGAGTCGGAGAAAGTCTGGGCCACTCTTCGGCAACGTGGCGAGCTCCATAAAGTCCTTACCCCTCGATTTGTCTATACAGACAAAAACGATGGGCAGAGGACCCAGCAGAACAACTTACCCTTGAAGGCGTCCGCCCGACTCGTTGTGCCAGGATACAAAGACATCACCGCCTATGGTCTTCGAAAGGACGCCCCAACCGCCAGCCGAACCAGTCAACACCTTCTCTTTTCGGTGGCTGCAAGCAGGTTTCAAGATGGCTGGCGGATGGGCACTGCTGATGTGAAAAGCGCCTTCATGAAAGGGGAGCGCTACATGGAGGGGACCCGAGAGCTCTACGTCAAGAACGTCGAGGTGCGAGGCGACAGCCCTTCGCTTCCTGTTGGGAGAAAGTTGAGCCGAGTGCTCAAGGGAGTCTTCGGCCTCGCTGACGCACCGCGTGAGTGGTTTCTTCGTCTCCGCAAGAGTGTGGTTCGACGCGGTTGGCGGACCTCGACAATGGATGCGGCAACTTTCTTTCTGTGGTCTAAGGACTCAACTCCGAGGCTTCTGGGAATGCTTTGCAGCCACGTTGACGACCTCCTGTTTTGTGGTGGGCCGGAAGCTTGGAGCTCAATCCGCGAGCTTGGGGACGAGCTGGGCTTCGGCTCCCTAGAGGAGAACACTTTCGTTTACTGCGGAAAGCGAGTTACCCAGGACCTGGCCTCGGGAGAAGTGACCGTCTCCATGAAGGAGTACCACCAGAACCTCAAGGAAGTGCGGGTGCCGAGCTCCCGACGGAGGGACCCCGATGCCTCCCTGACGCCAGGGGAGCATAAGCAGCTTCGAGCCCTCGTGGGTTCTCTTCAGTGGCTGGTGGCCCAAGTTCGCTTTGACGCTGGCTTCTTGCTCTCGGCGCTGCAGGCAGAGACGCCTACCGTGAACACCCTTTTAAAGATCAGCCAGCTGATCAAGCTCTTCAAGGAGACGGGTGACTTTGAACTTCGTTTTCGTCCACTGGACCTCCGGAACGCGGGGATCCTCGTGGTGACGGACGCCTCCCTGGGCAACGTGACGCGTGCAGGTGCAGTCGGTTCGCAACCCTTGGAACGAGTCTACAGCCAGAGCTGTTACTGCGTACTGCTGGCCGAGGCCTCGTTGATGCGAGGCGAGAAAGGAAGGTTCACTGTCTTGGACCACCGCTCGCATCGGCTACAGCGTGTTTGTCGCAGCACGTTTGCGGCAGAGCTTCTGGGTGTCGAAGAGGGCACAGACGCTGGGCAGTACTGCCGTGGTCACGTGGCTGAGCTACAAGGGTACGACCTTGGACACCGTGGCGTGGACTGCATCCTCGACAACATCGACATGGTGATTGTCACCGATGCCAAGGACGTCTACGACAAAGGAAACAGCGACACCCCAAGCTACGGAAGCCAAAAATCATTGGCTTTCACAGTGGCCTGGCTTCGAGGAATGCTCGGCCGGGGAAACACGGCGTTACGCTGGACGGCGACGGAAAACATGTTCGTCGACTGCGGGACCAAAGAAATGGATGGAGCCCACATGCGGAAGATTCTGGGTGAGGGAGAATGGAGCTACCGCTTTGACGCTGACCTCGTGAAGCAGACCGTTCGAGCCCGAGCACCTGTCCAGCGAGGACCCCGTGTGCTGAGTGGGCAGAGCGTAGCTCCAAGTGATCCCGTCCTCGCCTTTTTGCAGGGACTTTCAACCCAGAAAGGATGGCATCGGAGAAACACGACGGCTATCCAGGTAGCCCACGGTGCCAAAAGCTATCGTAATCCCGAACCCCGTTTCAGCCGTGAAGAGTACCCGTATCGTACTACGTATGGTCTTTTCCATGATGAAGAAGGCAGAGGCGAGTGGCGTTTGCTGGAACGGGATGAAGGCTACGGTAAGCTTCTTAAGCCCCTTGACCGCACGGCAGCTGTATTGATCTCGATCTTCAAGACCCAAAAAGAAAATAGTATCCCTGTGAAACCAGTTGCTGACAGCGTTGGGCCTTGATCGAGAGATGTGCAGCCTGCCTGTGCTTGTGCCGACTTTTAGGCCTTGACCCGATTATGGCAATCGGCAGGAAAACCGGCTAGCCTTTTGAGTGCGCTGCACGTGCATTTCATAATATGCCTTCACCGAGTGTGACCAGCCTGTCGCATTGCTCGCGATCTAGGCTCATTGACCAATCTAGCCGTAATATAGCCTTTCATGATATAGTTCATCGAATCAACATGTCCGACACAATCAAAGGAGGAATCTGTGAACACAGAGCAGCGCTACGAAGTTTGTCGTGCACGTGCTGCGCATTCGAGGATTAGATCAATCAGATCGCTTTGTCGCCGCGCCGTCACTGTCGGAGGTTGCCTCGCACTCGCCACATCGCTGCGGTGTCCAGAAAAGCTCGAAACGAGAAACTCGAAGCACAAAACGAGCTCTAGTCCACAGCATGCTCTCTGACATCTGAATGTTTGATTGTCGGTGTTGCCTTTAAGGTCCCCCGGCTGCAGCGAGCTGGTGCTGTCCTGGTTGGTGGAGGAGGCCCAAAAGCCCTTCAACCTTCGGGACGAGCCCCTGATCCGGATCGTCCTTGCAAAGGCCTTTGGGCTGGCTTGGGACGTTTCAATCTCCCCTGTTCTGTTCACTTGCCGTTTGTCGTGTGTGTGTGTGTGCGAAAATGATCGTGAGGTGGGGTCGGAGCAGCATTTTCTGCTGGTGAACATGCACCATTCTGCCAGGGTCACGGGATCATGATTCCGATTCCTCTCGACATTTCGCCACCCCGAGTCCCGTTGAGGTCACGGACGGACGATCGCTTTCCATTCTCAGGCGGCCGGGCACTGACCAGTTGTTGATGTGTATTGTTTTGTCTGCGGAGGCAGGAGTTGACAGCCTTCTACAACCAGATTGCTTTAAAGCTGGCAGAGGCTGCGGTTCTAAGCGGTTCTGTAAGTGCTCTGAAAGTAGCGAGCAATAGCGGAAGGCCCCAAAGCTCCCAGCCTTGTCAATGCAGTACGCAGCTCCGGCCTCAGCCTGGCCGGCAACGGCGGCATCAGAAGTCTGCTCTGCACGCAACGCGCCCAGCAAGTCTCCCCCTTCGACACGTCAGGCCTCAGCTTAACACTCCTCGATCCAGCCACACATCGTTGAATTGTGACTGTGCGAACACCGGAAACTGCATGTCCTACTTGTCCTGCGTGCAAGCGTGCGAATTATGCAAGCGTTTCACACAGTCCAAACAGCAACAGGAGGAGAGGATGTGGCTGGAAGGGGAGCCTGCGCATTTTGTTCACGACTCCATTGCAAGACTGTCGACTTCAGCTGCAGCGTCCCTGACTCCCTGCACCGTCTGAACAGTCCCTGCTGTCCCTAAATTTCAAGCTCCACGGCTGCACGGTGCTCAGAGCAAGCCGCGATTCATCAGGGATCCGTGTGACGACCCATCGCGAAATCTCCGTACAGCATTTCGCGGTTTTGCTTTCGAGAGTTGCCATACAGCCAAGGATTTCGCATACTGTCAGAGACGATGGATGGCCCAGGCGAGGGCCAGTTTGGCGCCTTGGAAAGTCTCAGTCACTCGCTGTTCTCGTCAGGGTCGTCTTGAGAGGGAGCTGGCCTACTGGCGCTCCCAGCTTCAGCAGCTTCCGGCGCTGCAGGACGGCGCACGCAGCATTGCAGGATGTTTGTGCATGTGTACCAATGATATAATGCAATACACAGGCATACACGGCTTGTCAGTCCTCACTGTTTGTGCAACGCCGTGTTTGCGTCCACGCGCAGCTCCTCACGGATTTCCCTCGCCCGCCCAACCTCGCGCTGGACGGAGGTCAAGCGGGCTTCTCAGGAAATAGCCAAGTGACGAGTATAGACTGTGGCCCTTCGCTAGGTTACGTTTCAGTTGCAGCCAGCACTGGCAAATCGGCTCCGCAGCCTTGCGCGTGCCAAGAGCGTCACGCTCTTTGCACTTCTCCTAGGCCAGGAGCTGTGTGTGGTGCGCTTGACACAGCGGTGCTGTAGAAACAGTCATCTCAGAGGCCTCTTCGCCCTGGCACTGAGCCGCTGGGCAGGGGCGCAGGATCTCGCCATCGCATCGCCGGTGGGCCACCGCCAGGGGACAGAGCCTCAGCACAGCCCGTGGACTCACGAAGGATCACGAAGGTATGATTTTAAGACATGTGATCAGCCGCCATCGCTTAATGAGAGGCGGGAGACATGATCAACGACACGTGCGGCTCATTTAGGTTCAATGTGGATGGATCGTTGTTTATTACTATGGCCGAAAAGGCGTTGGTGGACAAATAGAAATCCGTTTTGATCGGGGTGTTTTTTGATAGGTTGTCCGTTCAGCGACAGCATGGATGTCACTTTGCCCCTTGCCTCCGGTCACGTGCACAAGCGCGACCAGAGGAATGCCGTCGAACCGCTGATTGGATACTTTGTGCCGTGGCCCCAGAAACAGCATGTCACCATGCAATGGCTGGCGACATCGATGGCTTTTTGCTGTTGCGAAATTTTCTCGCAAGGAACACTGTGCTCTTCCGGGTGAACTTGAAGACCCCATGCACATTCGAGGCAGGCCCGGCATCGGAGGTTTTGCGGCCGGAATTCTGTTGCGAGGATCTCCTGCAAAGATTGCGCGATGCAGTGGTCGGGGCTTTCCAGAATTCATCGGCTCCGTACGCAAAGGTTCTGGAGGCTCGGCTTGAGAGAAGTGGAGCTGTGAAGCTTCAACCATGCCTGACAAGAGGCTGCGGAGCTTGATCCGGCTGCTGTGCCAGCCATGTTTGTGCTGCAGGACTCCCTCTGGTCATGTGAGTAGCATCTCAAACGCGATGTAGAAGGACAGAGACGAGACGGCATGGAGCATGGAGGCGGGCTCAGTCTTGTCCCTTAGCTGTAGAATGTCCAGCGACATGCCTGCAGGGCTTGCGAGTTGAACAAGTCGAAATCCAGCGGCATGCGGCCCTCTTCGATGTCACTTGCGAGATGCAGGCCAAGCATGCATGATCTCTGTGTGCAGTGTTGCAGCTTTGCGATTGGTTGGTGAAGGAGATGCCTGGATCCGCTGGAGGCAAAGAACAGCTCCATAGGTGTTGTATGCGGCACAGCCTGCCATTCTGATTTCAAGGACTCCAGGGAGTCCTGGACGCTTGGATGCAAGTCGAGTGACTTGCAGAGATTTTCAAGGGCATCCTTTTGTGCGAGGTCTACAATAAACACCTGTGGACCAACTCACGTGCCGGGCGCCTGGTGCTGGAGCTTAGGAGCATGCGGCATAAACTGGCATGGGCACACAATTCCTGGATCTGGTCGTCAATAGCTCCTGCTTCTTTCGGTTTGCAGCCTATCTAGCCATAAGACGTGTGCACATGTCGGTCTTTTCCAAGAACGTCCGGAAGTTCCAACAGCAGTTTTTGGAGTTACTGAATGAGAGCTGCCTGCTGAATGTACTTTAGAGCTTTTCCTTCGGCAACAAAACCTCGTTGTGTCCGTCTAGCTAGCTGTGATCGCCTAAGGCTTGGCTTCTGCCCCGGTATAGCTCCAAAAGTTGATGTTTGGCATGGGCAACGCTCCCATGTTCTCAGTTGTTTAAGTCAGGCCATGTTGTGATATTTAGAACGCTTTCCTTGTTAGCAGCGCTGCCGGAGAGCAAGACCTTTCTGTTTGCTTGCAGTTTTGTGCTCCAAAGCAGCAGATGCTACTGTGCAGGCACGACCAGCTTCGCTGGGTCAACTATGATATAAACCTCCAGCGACCGTACAGCCGAAGGTTCTCAAAGCTTGCAACTTCTGGTTCAAACTGCACGCCGAATGTTTGCTCTGAATCATGCCAAACTTCCTGTTTCGAAGTGTGCGAAGTGTTCGCAAACCGCGAGTGCCCCTTAGGGCAGACCGCGTGCACACGTTGACCAGTGACCCAGCCGGTCTGCCAGCTTGAAGAAAGTATGTGGACACAACCTTTCTAACAGGTTTGTGCATGCACATACACCCACCTGAGTTGGATTCAAGCTGACATGGAAGCGCGAAACATGACGTCGCAAGCTCAATCGGTGGTTCATGGAGTAGCATGACCCTCAGTCGATGGCTCGTGGAACAGGCGCAGGTACGGATGGTGTCGTATACGTCAGGATGGGTGTCTTCATTGGCAGCTGCCCCCTCCTTTCCCCTGTGTTTGATGCTTCTGACACATCACTTTGAATAATGAGCGATCACACCACTTCGCAAGTCCATGTAGCACCCTTCACATCAAGGCAACACACGAAAGCTACACGAGCCGGCACATCCTTTCACTCATGCTGGAGAAACCGAAACACTTGTTCATGTCCACGAATTTGCTCGCGACTGTGGCATACAACACTTTGGAGATGTTGTTTCACTCAGAATACTGATTGAAATGCGAAGCAATGAGGCTCTCAAATGCATCTGCCATCACTTTTCAACGAAGCTTTCCCGATCATTAACGATCAGATACACCGGGAATCTGTGAACGCGTGCCCATGCCAACTGGTGGTTATGCTAAGGAACACATATTCGCTGGGACACACCTTTTCACACCCATGGTTTTGACCGAATAATTATCCGACCGACTTTTCAAATGTGATGACATGGACAAGCTCCCAGCTGACGATACATCAGGCAGCAGCCAGGCTCTCCAGTGCTGCCTGAAAGCCTCTGGCCCTCGCAGAGCGAGTTCCCCGGAAACGATTCGAATTTCTTGAGCTCCCTTTGAAGGCAAACAACATCTTGCCCGCGGTCTGCTGGCGTCCACCACAGTTTCGGAAGGCAAATGGAATGGAAGCAGCACATTCTGAAACTTGTGCCGTACATCCTCCAACAGTGCGACAACGAACCCTGCACATACGCACGCCTCCATAGCTTCAGAAACAGTAACAACCTCCTTCCGCCGTGACACGAAATCATATGGTTCTTCATATGTGGCGTTTTCTTCACACCACGGCTTTGCACAAGCAAGGTCTGTGGGTAATTCAACCCAGGCTTCCACATCTGTCACATGACGACCTTTTTCGGAGACTGCGGTGTAGAAGACACCAACCCCTTCAGTGTCACGGCCACCATCGGGATACGAGCATGCACACAACATTCGGCTGATTGAGATGTTTCTGGAGACATTCCACACTGCCGGGATCGGTCTCTCCACATCTGCAGCTGACGAACAATCCTTTTTGACCAGAAGCAACAAGGTGCAAGGTCTTGCCGGAGAGGCCTGCCGATGAAGTGGGCTGATCGCCCGTTCTTTGGCCAAGGAGCCGGTTTCAGATCCCTTGTCAGCAAAACAACCATGCAAATCTGGTGCTGCAAGAGAAGCAGAGCACAAACTAAAAATGCAGGCAAGAATTCAATAACAAAACGGCACTGTTCGGGTTGGGCCATGCTTTCGATTGCTTTCCAACTGAGACGACTGAGATGTTTTTTTGCATACCGGAAAGCAGCGAAGCTGCGCCACAGAATGGAGTGTAAGTGTTGTAAGTTGCTCACAGCGGCTTTGCTGAGGCCGTGCGTTTTGCTGAGAGCCTCCAGGTCAGCAGCTTGTGCAACAATTTCGAAGTGTTCGAAAATCCACCACTGCACAGCCAGACGCTGGCTCTGGCTGTGGCGGAGCAGCCCGCAGTGGACCTGCTCCAGCTTGCGGTGAGCATCTGAGCAGGGTCTGTCGGACTTTCCCTAAACCCTGAAACCCTGCCTGAAACCCTTATATAGAAACCCTAGATAAACCCTACAAAAAAACCCTATTTGCGTAAAGACTTCTCGCGAGGTCCTCTCCGGCAACGACCGGGCCAAGGTCCTGGACTGGGGCGGCCACAACCGACCCGTCCCATCGCCCACGCCGCTGATCAAGGCCCCTTGCAGTGAGCTCTTTCAAGAGTCCCGTTTCAAAAAACGGAAAAAGCGCCGAAGTAGAATTTCAAATCAATTCTGGACATATTATGCCTCGTAAGAAGGCCGCATAAGTGCATGTGGATGCCATGCCTCCACTAAGAGTGATGTCCTTGCTTCTCCGGCCCCCGGTTGACTTGGGCGAAGGGCGGCAAAGGCCGAGCAGGTGGAGCTGCCAAAGCACACCTGCGGCCCGGAGTAATCGTCAAGAGATTTGCATTGCTGGAGGGCAAATTACCGTGCACAGGCTCTGAAAGTGCAACTTCTCCAGAGCCAGCATGACATCGCAGTGCTGTCTGGGGCGTGATCCCCAGAAACATCGGTTATTGAGCGAGAGAGCGAGAGAGAGTAGCTTCAGAAAGGACCGGTCCGTCACGTACGCAGAGTTTGGCGCGCGTGTGACGGCCCTGGCCTTGGTCTTGGCCTCGGAGCGCGCCGTGGGGGGCGCGCAGCATGGGCCTGGCATTCTCAGTAGTTTGGGCGCTCGTCTTCTGAAAAGTCCGCCGGCTTTGAGAGGCGCTGCGGGAGGAGCTCTCGGAGGCGTTGGACTCGGAGGTCTTGGTTGCCTTGCTGTTGCCCCGGTCCGTGGACTTGGCCGTTGCGATCTGGGCTGTCTTGAGCACGGGGGCGGCCTACGTACCGATTGACCCCGAGTACCCGCCACAGCGCATAGAGCACATCCTCCTTTCTGCCGGGCCGCAGTTGGCTTTGGCCCGCAAGGAACATGCAGAGCTCCTACCTAGAGACCTCCGAGTCTTCGGCACGTGGCAGTGGCCAAGCCCACAGACCTCGGCCGCCTCGATCCCCCGCGTGGAGGAGCTCACGCAGGCACCGCCGCAAGGCCTGGCCTACGTCATCTACACCTCCGGCTCGACCGGCAAGCCCAAAGGGGTAGCCATTGAGCACCGATCGGCTGCGAACATGGTGCAGGACCGCGGGTCACGGCGTAAGAGAAATCCTTGGTCATCTCACGTCTGACTCTTTGCAGGAACAGCTTTCCCTCATGCGCATTACCAGGGAGGATCGCGTCCTCCAATTCTTCAAGCCTGCCTTTGATGGTGCCGTCCAGGACTGGTTGAAGCCGCTTGTTCCTGCTGTGCAGTGGCGCTTTTGCCCCTGAGGAGTACCTGAGCACCTTCCTGGCTGGTGCAGCGCTTGTGCTTTGGGGCGAGGACAAGGAGGAGACTTTTGCAGAGGTCCTGTCGAGACACCGCTGCACCGCCTGCACTTTGACGCCGTCTGCACTGTCGGTGCTGGATCCGAAGCGCCTACCACTGTTGACGAAGCTGGCAGTGGCCGCCGAAGCCTGTCCACCGACTTTAGTGGAGCTTTGGGCCTGCCAGCGCCGACTTCTAAATGCTTATGGCCCCTCGGAAAATACCGTGGTTGCAACGTCCGCCGAACTCGGAGCCAGCGAAAGCTCCAACGACTTTATCCTCCGATCTGACTCCTTCGACAGCCTTATGTCAACCCCTTCACGACAGCACGTGCCCATTGGCACTCCCCTAGGAGGAGTGCAGTGCTATGTCTTCGAAGCCACAGCAGTGAAGTCACTTCAGGACGGGGCGGTTCCCTGAAACCTTCCTCTCTGGAAGTGACTGAGAGTGTCATGTGTGCAGCTCTCGGCTAGGCCATCGGCACTCCCGGGGAACTCTGCCTCGGCAGCTCTCTCAGTCGCAGCGCGCGCGCGCGGGATGAAGCTCTTTGCGGGAGTCCCCTGTCTTGCTTAGGTGGGGTTCAACTGGCCCGAGGATATTTCGGCGATGCAGCGAAGACGGCTGAGAAGTTCGTGATCAACCCTCTGGGATGCCAAAAGATGCAGCGAATGTACAAGACTGGTGACATCGTGACTTGGCTCCCGCAGGGACAGTTGCTCTACCTGGGCCGGAATGATGAGATGGTGAAGCTGCGAGGCTTCCGCATCGCCCCACCGCCGCGCTTATAAGCGCGGCCGCGCGATTGCGGGGGGACAACATGGGGGAGCACCGAGCACAGCCACTCATACTTTAAGGGAAAATTACGCAGAAGGACTTCCCACTTGGGAACCTCTGGGAGCGGCCCCCAACAGCCGCCAGGAGCTGAGCGAAGTGGAGGCGGCGCTGGCGGCACTGGGAGCGCAGGTCCGTCTCCGAGTCCCAAAACGCGCGAGTCCCACCGCAATGATTTTCGCAATTGTGATTTTTGCTTCCTATGGGATTGACCCATGGAGACGGTTCTTGCAGGATTCTGCTATCTGTGATCGCTTGACGGCAGGCTGTGGCTGTCGCCGTCAATCCGGTCAAGGACCGGGACGGAGGTCAAGTCAACGCGTTGTGGGTGCATAGCTTCTTCAAGGACGGTCTGTGGGCATGGGTCACTCCTGAGACCTTGTCTCCAGCGACGTTGCGTTCAGAGCTGTTGAGGGCTCTGCAAGTGCCTCATAATCAACGGAGGACGCCGGATATGCCGAATGAGGTTAGTTCCTGCACTTCGCATCGCCGAGGCCACAGTACATGGTACCGACGAGGCAGGTGGAGATGATCAGTTTAGGCTTTGACCCGTCCATCCCTGCGTTAGGATTGCAGTCCTTGAGAAGTTCCCGCTTACACCAAATGGCAAGGCACGGCCCGGCACAGCTGTGAGGTCGCGCGGAGCGTCCTAAGTAGACAGTCTGGCGTCCTCAGATCGACAAAGCACGGCTTCTGGCGGAGAACTGCTCCGAGGCAGGAGAACGACGCAGCTCAGCCTTGCTCCTAGCGGCCATAGCGTTGTGGCCTCGTTGTCCTTATAATGGAATACTAGGCGACGCATGTAATGCTTTTCACTCCGCTGGGATCTCCGCCATGCTCAGCGCCGCACGGCCTAGAGGGGCACACAGACGTAGAAGGCCGGGAGCGTAGTCCCCAACGTCGCTCTCGCAAAAGAGGAAGGCAGTGAAACCTGTCCGAACGCTGGCTAGGGGGAATTCAGCCTTGATCACTGGCTTGGAGGATAGGATTTCGTCGACTGGAGCGGAGACTCCACATCCTCTGGCACGGTGAGCAGCTTCAACAGTGAACCAACTCTGAGGCACTGTGTTGGTGCCGGGGATATGTGGCGATGCCGGCCTTGAATTCCTCCAGCTTTCGTTTTCTGGCTGCTTTGGGGTCAGCACGCTGGCAGTCAGCATCGTGCTTCTGCTCCTCCTGCGAAGACGAGCTCGAGCCAAGGGGAGGAAGGGGAACGACATGGAACGATGTTTCCTGCAACATGCTCACCACTCTTCTCGAATCTGGGTTGTATACAAGTTCTCCTCCGCAGCCCCAAACAAGAGGGCCTAAGAGGGCAACGGTGCCAGAGCCAGGCAGCGCCAGGCAGCGCCCAGGCAGCTCGCCGTAGCGCCAGCTGCGTGGAACCAGAGACTGCATTCCCAACGTTGGAACCTGCACAGTAGAAAAAGCCTCCCAAGCTTTAGGTTTCTATTTCGTGACATGGCTGTGTGGCGTCTCTACACGAGGAACGCCTGTTTTTTGGTTTGTTTTTTAATGTGCTGTGCAGCCAGGATTGCTGCTTTTGATGTGCAGTGCTGTCAGCCGTAGTACACCAGCGTACATCGGGGATCTCACGTTTGTACCATGCGATTTTGATTGTTTTGCCAGCGCCGGCGCTGAAACTCCAATTCTCACTGTCACTGAAGCCGGTCGTTGCAGACCGTGCACTTGCGGCAAGGACTGGTGGCAATGCCTTTTGGTGACTGGCGGTGCTTCTCTCAAAACCCTCCAGCGTGCTTAAATGGGGTGGTGGCGCCTCTCAACACGCAGGTGGTGGGTGCCTTGGGGCGGCAAAAAATGTGGATTTCACAGTGTCGCGCCTCTCCAAGAATTGAAGCCCGGGACGCCGAACAGAAAGGGCCAAAACGGAAAGACGGGGAGGGATGCGGCAATGGCGCCCGCATGCCCTGCAAGAACAGGACGAGAGCCGACGACGGAAGACAGAGAGAGCTTTCGCACTCCCCGGGCCCATGCCCCTGCAGCAGCAAGAGATGGCAGGCGCACACGGAGGGCCCGATTGTGGGGCCGCAGTCGCCTCTCGAGCAGCGCCTTCGCGCCACTCTGGCCAAACAGGTGGTGCTCAGCTGGCCTCGCATCAGACCAGGTGAGGGTTGTGGACAGTTGTGGATGGAATGTACTTCCAAACGCAAGGCCACGGCCGCAACGGTGCTTGGATTGGAGACGTTGGGGCACCGTCCCGAGCGACACTCCGAGAGAGAGGGAGAGACAGCACATCTTCATCGTTTCATCTCAGGGTCACAGCTGACTTGCGCAGCGCAGGGGGCTGAGACTCCAGAGCATCAAGAGACCAGCAGTGAGAAATCACCGAAGCCTGGCAGACTGCACAGCGGAGGTGGGAATGACCTCATTGAAGGCAGTGCTGCTTTCGCAAAAGCTGCGCGATACAGGCGTTTGTCGATTTCATGTTGCTGTCATGACCGGCCTTTGGCCAAACAGACCACACATGCGGGTCTCACGATACCTCTCTCCAAGCTGTACGAGCTGCAAACCGTTCGGGCACTGGCTGACCACCTGGCCATGCAGGAGGACGGTGCAGTGCAATGCAGAGAGTAGCGGGGCGGAAGAGCATTGCCAGGAGACAGTCCTCGGTCCTGTGAATGAGGCAGAAGCAGAATGCAGCAGAGCGTGCCGGGATTCTCTTTTCAAGTCCGCAGGCAGATGTGGAGTCCGGCCGCAGAATTGATCTATGTCTCAGCGCCAGCCAGAAGGGCTGCTCAGGCGCGGACTGCGAAGACTGCGTGACACTGCGTGCTCGCAACACGACGCTTTGCGACGCCCAGGGTTCTTCCAGAGCATGGCTGTGCTTTGCTGGCGGCTGCTTGCATGGGCCTGGAGCCTCTGGCGGTTGCATAGGGCGCATGCGTATAGGCACGATGCGGGACGTATATATCAGTGCGCTGCGCTGAGCTCCGAGGTTTGGATCAGCGGCGTCGTGATTTGGCCCGCGATGCTTCCATTGAAGCTCTCTAGCCAGCTGGCCACGCGTTCGCACAAGACCACCGAATCTGTGGGTTTGGAGGAGGTTGGGTCCTGCCGGGACATGATGTCTCGTAGTCTGCGAATTGCCGGAAGTGAGCAGAGCAGACCCCGCTTCCACCTCCACCTCCCACGCTCAGGCTCGTAGTTCGGGCGCAGCCTGGTCGCTTTGTTTCATGGTGCCGGCGCCTTTTGAACCGCAGTCCACACATGTCCGCACAATTCGCGCACCCTCAGAAGCAGAAATTCACTGGGTTTTGCCTCCAGGCTCGTGGGATATCCGCTTTACCTTCTGCTGATGATTCTGCTCGTCAGTGGCCCCCAGGAGCTTGACCGTTCTTGTGCCATTGCGGAGCCCTTATAGGTGATCTGCACGAAATGGCTCCTCATCGGAAGGTACCGAGCAGGACACGGTTCTGATACCGGTCCCCCGTCTGCAGAGCTGGGGGCTGTTGCCTGCAGGAGCCTGCTCGGTGAATTCCTGGGCCTTCTTGAGGTGGTGGGCAGTAGCCGCTTTCTCTGAACAGTTTCAGGGATTCCGAGATTCCTTCCCTTCGGTTTTCGGGAGTTTTGCTGAGTTTGAGTTTAGGATCGGATGTTGGTCTTCGTGAACGAGCTCTGCTTGGGAGCCTTTCGCGGGGGGCCGGTCTACTTCGCCTACCTTCGCTCGCCGCGGCCTCTGAGCATTTCTGCGCCACATCCCACGCCATGCACATCCATTCATTTTGGGGGGGCTGCAGGCTTGGCTTGCAGGCCGCCGGCTACTGCCGTATCGACACGCGCCACGTCTCAGAGTCACTGCCTGAACGTGCCATGCAGAGTGCAGAGTGCAATGAACTCCGCGGAACTGCGTCGCATGAGGTTCGACCTCATCTCTTTGGGACGCTGCTGCGTTGTCGCCGAGGGCGCAAAGCTGCGCCCTGCCGCTGCCGAGGAGAGGCTGCGGACGCGAGCGCCCCCAAAAGAGCCGGTCGCTGAGAGGCCGGAGTGCTCCAGCTGCGGCCGCTGGCTTTTGGAGACTACTGCGCCGTGGGCGAGAACGCCGCCAGGGCCCCGAAGCCGCCCCCGCCGCGAGCGCGAGCGCGCCGGTCTTGTGAGCCGGACTCTCCAGTCTCGAGGTCTGCACTGCTGGCTGTGCAGTGGGTGATCATGTGACCCTCCAGCCCCTGCTCCTTCTTTGCACGGAGACTGCGCCGTATATGCGTTGCTATCAGTCTCTGTATGGGTCCAGCAGCCGGCTGCAGGTCCATGTTGTCGGGACGCATCGGTCGAACTTTGCCAGATGGCTCGGTCTGGAAGGGTGCTTTGCTGGTACAGTCCAGACAGCAACCGATTCGGGTGCCTGCTGGATTCCTCTGCCTGGACCTCGGAATTTTGGGGACTCCCACAACGCCCCCAAACTTCCTTCGCTGGAGGCCACGACCTTCTCGGGGACGTCTTTGCTCTGCTCCTCACACTTTTCCTGCAGTTGCTCGGCGAAGTCAGGTTCGGTCGTGTCCAATTGTTTGTTTGCCTCAGCAGGACAGGCTGCAGTTTGGTGGCCTACGTCACTTTCGGGCTGCTGGCAGAGGCTGCCTTCAAGGGGGGGGGAACAAGAGAGTCTAGTGCCAAGAAAAAAGAGTAAGAAATGCAGGCTCAAGGATTCGGTGTGGGCCACGCTTGGCGCTGGCAGGTGCCGCTTCCCCCCGTGGTGTGTTCAGCTCTGTTCACATGTCCGAACAGGCCGAGCCGGAAGGCTACCTGTTCGCTGCAACGTGGCTGCTGTTTGGTCCTCCGGTGATGGCGCGCCGCCCAGACCGGTGCCGGTGCCGAATGGGACATGGGACCCTGCAGAGTGCTGTGCAGCACTGAGGCCTCTGCCGACGTTCTCTTGGATATTGATTTGGCTGGACTGGCCGACCAGGCCGCCTCGGAATGGAGCGGGAGCTCGCTTGCAATCTTCCGACTACCGAGAGACCTGACAGCCCGCTATGTGGCATAGCTTCGCATAGCTTCGCCTCGGAATGTACGCGAGAGGTCATGGCATCGATGGGCCTGAATCAGTGGGAGTTCGGTCTGCGCTTGGCAGGAGCTGTATCTTCAGAGCCAGGAAGAAATCGGGATTCCCTTTGCAAACCCTGCCTCAGGCATGGTGGTGGTGAGTTTCGCGGCGGGAGCCACAGCTCCAAGGCGGGGTTCCTGTCTGCAGCTGGAGCCTGACAGGTATATGGCTGGTCGCTAACACTGAGCTCAGCGTTTCTTTGCAGGCAGGGTTTGCTAGGAATTGTGCCTTCCATCTTAGTTCGTCTTTGAAGGTACATCCGCGGATCTCGGAACTTGAACTCCTGGTTTTTTCAGGCTCCAGCCAGAGGCAAGCTTTGCTGGAGAGGGTTAGAGGGACAAGTGCCGATGGCAGGTGCGGCGTGTCGTGCTCAGGCATGGATTGCTGCTTTCAAGCCAGCTGCAACAATTGGAGCTGTCATTGGTTTGTCCGGTCGATTTCCAGATCGCGTATCGTTTGAGCAATTGGCCATTTTGGGTCTGATTGGTGAGGGCGATGCTTGATGTGCTTGCTGCACGGGCTGTGATTGCATCAATGCTACGCCTTGACGATGATGCCAATGATGATTCCAAAGATGCAGTGACTGGCAGCAACCCCTGAAGTGTGCTCACTACGCCAGAGCCTATGTAGTTGCATGAGCAGATCTTGATGCGGCTGCCGCATCTGCTGCTGTCACCCGCACTGGAGCCAAGCCAAGCTAAGCCGAGCCCAAACACATGTCTCGATGAAGTAAGCTTTTCTTTGAGGACATTGACATTCCTTAAAGAAGCCCTTGAAACCGGCCCTTGGAGCACCTGATGAGACCTTTGCTTTAAATTTCAAGTCCTAACAGAGAAATGCAGAAGGGCACTCATACTTATACGTAAGATGCGTTCAAAAGCCTTCAGCGTGCTTACTGACACCTGTCACTGTCCAACTTTTGCCTTCACAAGGTCCTTGAAGCAACGTGATTGGCTCGTGTTAGCGCGGTGCCACGGAACCTGGGCGGAATTCACACCCATCCCAAAGACCCCAAAGACCCAAACAAGAATTAGCTTTTTTTGGGTGGTGCACCGAGTAAAGATCTCAGTTCAGATGGATCGGAGGCTGACTTTTCCCCGATACCCAGCACAGTTGGCAGGCACATGGGTGCGGAGCCAAGAGCCAAGCACAATGTAAGCATGACTGTGCCGGAGTCGAGAGAGGGGACTGATGGCCCCGAAATGCATGTTTCAAGGACCCTTTGATTCGTTGCAAATACCCTGCATTACCGGTGCTGCGGGTGAAGCCTTCGACGGACCTAGAACGTAAAGAAGCAGGATCTGCTCGAAGATCTTGCTTGCATTCTTTGATTGCATTCTGCCTGTCGAGGCCATGTCATTGTACCTACGACTTCTGGGTGGACGAGTCTCTTTGCATGCCACGGTAAGCGGCTCCTGACCTGAACAGCTTTCCCAAAGCACTGCATTCGCAGCAGGTGGCTGTGTCAGAACCACCGTTGGAACCGCGCAAGTTGCACGTGGGAGAGGCGTCTGCTTGCGGGATGTTCTTAATTGGAAATCCGCCGTGTCCTGCCCGCGTCGCAGGGGGCACTGCTGCTCACTTACCAAGCCCTGGGTGAATGTGAGGCATCGTTGTGGTTTGCAATGATTGCTGTTGGAGTCACTGCTCAGATGGCAGGTGGGGCAGGGCTCCGTTGTAGGGGCTGGCGCCGTCCTCCTCCCCCATTCACAGGCAGAGAGGGAGAGGGGCACAGATTGTTGGGGTTGGGCAGCATCTAAATGCTGAGGTGGAGGCTGGAGCCGTGGTGGGCGCGATGTCGGTGGCCGGCCGGCCGGTGCGTTCAGGTCTGCAGCTGGTGGGTCTGGGGCCTGGCGCTTTCAGTGCAATATTGCGGGTGGCGGCCGCTCAAAAACCGGTGCTTTCTGAGGCAATCCGGGAGTGATCATGAGGAAGGCAACCCTGGAGCAGGAGCTCATGGCTGGATGGGGAAGACACTTCCTGCGAAGGCGACTTCGATTGATGCCTAGGCCTAAACCTGTCGGAACCTAGTCTGAAACCGATGGACCCACACTGTGATGAAGAGACCAAGCGGTGCAACCTCACGTTGGTTTACAAGCAGCGTGCATGAAGTCTTGCCAGTCCTATGACAGCGTACAAGTTGAAGTTAACCGTCACAGTCGCAGGTCCGTGAAGTGCTTGTATCCACTGGTGGCGCCCATGTTCCTGCAAATGCTGCTGTACCCTCCTTAGAGTTGATCCCGGCACTCATAACCTGTTGAGCAGTTGAATCAGACTGCTCTGCTGAAGGGCCAGGCATGACAGCAGACGGCCTCCCACCATGGCAATTCCTTGTTTTTGTCCACACGACAATGCTGGCAGTGCCTGACATCATGTTGTACAAGGTTCGATGTCTGTTTCCAGTGGAAATGCCCATGCTTCACTGTGCGACCCAAGGGTTTCAATCTTGCCTTCGCAGGAATCCCTTTGGGCACGCGCACACACATATAGATCAAGAACCTCTATTCACTGACATGCATTGAGAAGGCGGGTGGATTTCTGCAGGTCTTGTATAAAGAGAAGACTCCAGCACTTACGCCGACTTTGGTCAAGGGTCAAAACAGTGAGTGAGCGCGAGACTTTGCTTGTAGAACCGCGTCTTTCACCTTTTGGAACAAGTCAGACCATCATTCAGAGGCTCGATGTCAATGTTCCGGTCTTGCACGTGAAACTAGCGACTTTCTGGATGTTGATGAATTGTACATCTCGCTGAGGTTGACGACCCTGCTGCCAGCAATGCCGCTGGGTTGACAGCTTTGCATGTTCGCGCTTTCCTCGTGTGGACATGAGGAAGAGAACGAGTGGGGCAGCATTGCCATGTTTCGAAGTGGGTGGGGGTGTACGTTGGCAAAGTCGTACCGTATGGGTCTGGCACATGCGGGAACTAGATATTGACATCATTCCACAAATTCTCCACAGCGAAAACCGCCCTGACGTGCACTCTACACTTGCGAAATATTCGTCCCCACAGTTTCCTGGCTTCCTGCTTGAATTGCGTTAGCCCTGCCTGTGCTCCGACAGTCTCTTCTGCCTCGAATCTTCAGAGGTACGTGCTGACCGTGCTGCTGGACATGCTCGTGCGCTCACAACATGGTGCAGGTGGGTCGCGGTAAGCTGCATCCCAGCAAACATTGTGAACATGATACCGACATCAGGTTTGGTGCTGGTTCACAGCTTAGACCTGCAGCTGTGTTGGTGCAAACGTTTAGACTTCATACTTTCAGGCTGTATCTCTGCCAGCAGCCTATGTGGCGCTGGGTTGGTGCTTGTGTCTTCTTGCGGGCCTGCCATGTTGGGTGTACGTCCTGGATGTCCCGGAGCAGAGTTTGCCTAACCGTGAAGGCAGTGCTGGTGCACCGGTTACTCTCTGGCTCTGTGAATGGCTCCTGGTGTGCGCAGCGACCCCAGTGTTGTTCAAGCCGCGCTTGCGACACAGCGCGGCTGACTGCTCAAGGTTCGGGTCGGTACGGCACTTCCTTGCCACGCAGCATCCCAAGCATTGGTTATAAGCATTGGTTTGTAATGCTCTCGATGCAGCTGAGAATACTCGCATGTGTATCCGCGAACCCTCAAATGAGGTTCTCTGAGCAGTTGAACTCGATGTCCATTGCCATCTTCATGGGCTCGGCACCCTTGTGAACCTCTCGCTCTGCTTGCGCTGCCTCGCTCTGTCAAGGCATGGCCTTCGGCTCGCCATTCTACAACTTCTGGCTCAAGGCTCTTGTTCCGTAGCCCGGAAGCATCTCGAGCAGATGTCGACAAAACGAGGCCATGGGCGGCAACGTGGCCAGCGACGCCCTCCTCTTGCTTGGTGCTGAACGGGGGATCCGGAAATCTGCTATAGACATGGACAAGTGACAAGGATTCCGATGCTCAGGACTGCTGTGGCAGGCGATTATCGGGCTTTGAATATTGGCCGCGGGGCTTCCGTCGACAAAGAGGCGCCAGGGATTCATCTGGCTCTGAGCCCGTGGAAGCGGAAACTCAAGCTGTAGGCAGTCATACATAGACATAGTTTGAGCCTGGGGGGTTCTGGAGCTGGCACGCAAGCGTCTGAGAAGATAGAGAGGCGCATGTCTGCTTGCGAAGTTCGCTTGCCAACGTTGCCAGGCCGTGCTGTCCTGCAGACGTTTGCTTCCAGGTGGGCATGGGGGGAGGGGAGGCGGGAGAAGCTGGGCTCCTCTACTTTTTACAGACTGCTGATATCAAGAATCCCAGTCCCAGCCTGTTTTACATGAAGCTTGTATTTCGGGAACTCCCAACTCAGGACCGCAAGGTGCGGGGTCCGGGACTCAGGAAGCTTGGGTTTCTGCAACAGAGATGCATGACAACCCCACCGGCCCCCACACACTGTCAGCCCCGAACAACCTCAGTCCAGAACCCTACTTCGACACCAAGGATCTGGTAGGAAGTAGCCACTGCAGCGCAAACCCCGAAAGAACACAGCGTCAGCCGGTCGAAAAAATACAGCAGACAGCGGCGGCCACGGTGCCGCTTCCGAGCATGGCCCAGGTTCTACATCTGCCAAAGTCGAGTGGTCATCGGACCTGGAAGCAGCGTATCGCATTCAGCAGCAGTTGTCGCAGGAGAGACAGGTCAGGCACAGCGGCACAGCACGGGACACAGCCCAGCGGCCAGTGCACACGTCTTTGACAGGTAGCCTGAGCACTCTGGCACCTTTGTCCGCTGTTGAAAGCTAAGAGTGGCCCACCTCTCTCGAACTGCAGGGACGGGAGCTTACGACGAGCCTCAGGTCGCAGCCTCTACGCGGCTCCCTGCCCAGACCTTCGCAGTTGGCCGCAGCCGAAGACTGGAGGGCAAATCGTCAAGTTTGCGGGTTTCCGCCAGCTCAGGTCTGCCACCTCAAGCATTTCCATGGTCCAAAGCCAGCCTGGTGAAGCCCAGTGCCAGACCGCTTCCGCGCGAGCTGCCTGGCTCCCAGTCAAGTTCCGATGATGTCCCCGATGTCCGATGTCGCCCGATGTCGCTATGCTTCTTTGGATCAGGCGCCCGCCGATCCTTCTGCCCATCTTTGTCAGCCGAGCCATCGGCCGCATGAAGGCGCCGCGGACGGCCACGGACATCACATGGCCATGGCCAGTGCCAGGGCCACTTGTTGCCCAGGTGTTGCAGGGACAGCAGGCCGTCGACTTCACGCCCTTGGTCACCGGATCCACCGGCTTCCTGGGAAGGAGCGGAGCGAAAGCAGAGAGCTGTCACCGCAGACAGTCTGCATCGCAGGAGCATTGTGGCGGCGCTCCTGGAATCGAGGGCATGCAGTCGGGTCTTTTGTCTAGTGCGCGCTGCGGACCCTGCAGCCGCACAGCAGCGTGTCATGGAGGTCAGGTTTGCGCCACTATACCTATAGCTGCTCTGGCTAGACTTTGATAGGACTGGCGAAGAAGTGTCTGCACGTCTGCAGGCAGCCAGGAAGGCGGGTGCCACTGACTTGCACCTTCTCGAGGCGTCGGCTGGGGCCGAGGTTCAAGGTGAAACGGAGTGCCTCCTCTGCTGGAGGCTGTGCCTGGGGACTTGCAGCAACGAAATTTCGGACGACCCCTTGCAGACGTGCAGCGTCTAGCAGGCTCCGAGCTAAGGCAGAGTATGGAGCAGCCGTTTATGCTGGCAGCCTAGGCCGCGTCACCCATGTACTCCATGCAGCGGCGAAGGCTTGCCAGGGACAGTATGGGCCAGGAAGTCGATGTCAGGTGAACTTGTCAGGTGAACTTGACTGAGCCGTTTGAGCTCATGAAGAAGGAGAAAGCCGCCCCCGCCGCCATTGCCCTTCTTTTCACGGTGTAGGGGCTGTTGCCTCCCTAGGCCCTAATAGTCTATGATTTCTGAATATATTTGCTAGTCTGGGATATGAAGCCTGCGGCATGGGGACTGGATGGGATTGGCCTACGTTGCATGCAGGACAACGTCGATGCAACGGCTCATCTTCTGGAGTTCTGCTGCATTTCCAGACCAAAGCCTTTCCACCATATCTCCACCATGGGTATTCTGACGCCCGGGGGCCTATAGTGAGTGCTTCCTGCTCTCTCTTTTCCACTCTCTTTTTGCACCTCTGCTGAGGCCAGATATGCTGGACCGGGGCACAGCTCCCTGAGAGTCTTCGAGCCTCTTTTCAAAAACCCGTGGAGGACCGACACGGCAGCGTCCGGGAGACTGCGACGCTGGGGGACATCCGAGCCTTGCCTCTTTACGGAACTGGGGACCAGGCCGAGGGCCAAAAGCCCACAGCGCTGCCTTAAGGGAGACATTGCCAACGCGATGCGAGGCCAACGGCTACCCTCAGAGCAAGTGGCTGGCGGAGGTGCTGGTCTTGGAGGCCACGGCTTTTGGGGCCGCTTCGTCGCATCCCGCGTGCTCACTCTTCTGCAGGCAGCCCGGCAAGGCCTGCCTTGCTACATTCATCGGCCTGGCCTCATAGGCTCCTTGCCCAGCCTACATGGATCCATTGCCAAATTGCTGGGCGAAGCATGGTCAAGCCGATGCGCAGGCGGCCATTCTGTGACGGGCGCAGCTGCCGAGGACGTGTTCTTCCACTTCCTGGCAGATGCGCAACCCTCGATCCTGAGCGCTCGCTTGGTAACGACGTTTACTTGGGAAGCCTGAGGTGCTGAAGCTCCGGCGTCTGCCGGGAATGGAGGGTCGCAAGTTTAACGTGACGCCCGTGGACTGGGTGGCCAAGGCGGGAGACTGGGAATGCCCAGAGCCAGCTGCCTTCGCCTTCTTGCCCCCCTTAAGGCTATTGCTCGCATAGCTCTCCCGGGCTTCCTTGAAGAGGGCCCGGCGGCCCAAGATGGCAGCCACGGGCCAAGCTACGCCAAGCTTTGGGGCTCGCCCGCCGCCCAAAAAGGCAAGCTTCCCAGTGGCAGTGTCTTCCATCCGGCCGCGCCTGGTGCTGAGTCTTTAGTCCCGCAAAACCTGATAGCAGTGTTAGTCAGGGCTGTCGCGTGCAGGCCGCACAATGCAATCACCACTACCGTGCTGGCTGCCGTGCTGAAGCGCTTCGGGCACGAAGCCTCGGTTCTGAGTTGACTGTCAGTATTTATTTCTGGCATAGGTGTGTAGAGGTCTTGCCTTTTTCATTTCATGCTTGACATCGAGTTGTCACAAGCGGCGTGTTTCGGAAGTGCTCCAGAGTAAGTTCATTTCAACAACAGAGACGACAAAGAGAGGTACGGCCATCTGGAGTTCATGGATTTTGCCTACGCCCGAGAAGCGGCCCGTTGTGCCGACCTCTGGGGTTCACTTCGAAGCGGCGAGGTGGACTGGCGTGACTCCATCGTCGGGTCCCCTCTGGAGCCGAGCTCACCATCTGCTCATGCTGCGAGTCTCTGTTCTGGGGCCGCTAAGTTGGCCCGCCTTTTGTGGCGAGATCTGCGTCTCTCTCTTTCAAAATGCGGTGTTTCTATAGGACTTCAAGAGCTGGTCCTTCTGCGCCGCTCTGAGCGTTGAGGCTCCGCAGCCCCGTTCGCCCTGGGCGGTAGAATAATTCGGCGATGATGTCTCCTGTTCGGTGTCCTATACAGGGGGATGGTATCGACTCCATGGCCGAGACGACGCTGGGAGCTAAAGCAATTCGGGAAGCTGTTGGTGAGGCCTCGGCAGCACGGCAAGTGTTTTCCCCGTTTCTTTCGGATGTTTCATGTAGATTCATGCATCGCAGGCCTTTGACAAGTACGACCCGGCTGACTGTTTGGTGCGCATGCTGCGGTGGTACACCGCTCAAGGAAGCAACATAGCACTCAGTATGTTGATGCCATGCGCGTCTGCCTCGGCGCTTGAGAGGCATGGCAAGCTGCGCAAGGGGGCATCGACACCAACAGCTGCAGCATGAGATGCAAGAGAGATACTCCAAAACTAAGACAGGCCAACCTGACGTTCGCGCGTCCGCGCTGATGGTGATGGTGTCTGCGCATCAGCTTAAACATGCCCGAGGGCCCAAGGGTCTTTCGATCGCGCACGGGGTCATGAAAAGAGCCTGCAGAGATCCAAGGAACCGCAGCGGTCACGTAGGGAACGGACAAAACCCCACGGAGGCAGAGCAATCGGGAAACGGACAGAAGTAGCAAAGGGCTTTGCCCACGGTCTTGACGGCCTGAGTTTGCAACGCCAGCCGGACCAGCGCCGGGTTCCTGCAGTGTGCCTTTGAAACTTTTGTGTGCTTTGAGTCCTGTAGTGCCATGGCCACAAGAGAGAGAGAGCGAGAGAGCCAGGACTTCTTCCGCAGCCAGAGTCTGCTCGGCCCGATGCAGCTGGTTGAGGGCCGCGGTGGCTTTTTGTTGCTTTCCGGGGCAATGCCCGGAAAGTGTGGGCAGTGTGTGATGGTTTCGCTGCATCATTATACGAAACCCTGGCACGGGCACTTGGCTTTGAGCCGGGGGTTATATAGATTTCACCTGCAAAGCAGGGAAACACAGTCGTTTGGACCAAGCCATCGCCAGAAGGCCTAGGGGCCTAGCCCGTGTAGCCAAAGCTGCCAGGCCATGGACCTGCAAAAGTGCCTCGCGGTGATCTAAAGCCGCCATCGCCGCAAGCTCTGTGCGTCTGTTTCTTTGGCTTGCGGCGCTAAGCAGCCAAATGCGATTACTCCGGCGTTTTCGACCAGCGCTCGCATCCTCATACTACGACCCCACCCTTGAGATTCAGAATCGTCCAAAGCACAGCTTTCGTGGACATGTGGATTGAAAACATGACACTCAGCCACAGACTGCACGTGGCGCACAGCTGGAAAGCCATGTCTGTCTCATTGGCTGTGCTGGCTGTAGTTGTGGTGTGGGCCTGGCTCTTTCTGGGGTGCATGAGAACCTGTGGTCAATGTGTCGTGATTGCATGCCAGGATCTTACTGATGCTGCGGCTCTTTGCAGCAGATGCGTGGCTCTCAGCAGTCGCCAGTGTTGCCATTCTCAGACTCCGGCCGTCTTGCGGTTCCAGGTATATGATGCGCTCATAGTGTGGATGACGGCACGATGGTACCAGGTTCCCGGTACTTGAGAGCATCTCCTGTTCACGGAGTTCATGGCAGGCTGTCTTTCAGCGCCTGAGCAAGGGCGACCGCATCCTGGATGTCTGCAGCCTTAGCAGTCGGAGTATTTCCCGCAGTGTCGCAGCTTCCATCGAGGTCGGCATTGGGACGGCGACAGCCTTGGTTCGCAACAAGGCACGAGACCAGCATGAGGTGGTGAGCCGGGAGAGGGATTGGTGCTGTCACCTGAACATGAATGTAACGGTTCGGTTCGGTTCGGTTGCGGTTTTGAAAAGGCGGTTCAGGTTCATGCG